ATAATTATCCTATTAATAATAATAATAATAATAATAATTATCCTATTAATAATAATAATAATAATAATAATAATAATAATCTCTCTAATATTTTAGCAAACCACTGTCGTAGGACGAATGAAATAGTTTAATCAAATGATGCATGCTTCTTTCGTTGCTTTCTAATTTAATTTAGGCTCACCTTCGTTATTTTAGATTATAAATAGAGCCTTTCTTCATTTTTTTTTTCTTTTATTATTATTCTTCTTCTTTTTCTTCTTATCCTTTAAATGAACTTTTCATTTATTTTCTTTTAACGACATCTTAGATCTTAAAGTCAATGGACAAATAGACCGGCAACACAATCCGCGAGAAAGGAATTGCTCATGTGATTACAAAGTACTACACAAATATCATCATCATCATCATTATCATCATCATCATCATCATTATCATCATTATCATTATCATCACGTTTATGCATGTTACTACTCAGCGCTGCTGGTTCCCTTTTTTTTTTTTTCTTTCTTTCTACCCTACACAACACGACTTGCCATATTATTATAGCTCATCTTGCATTTTCTTTCTCTGTTATCCTACGCGTTTTATTGATCATCGATTTACCTAAAAATCTAACGGTTGATCGGCCGAACCTTCAAGATCCTGAGTTGAATCCGTACCACCATCCTCGTCGTCGTCCAAATCAACGCTGTTCGTTTTCAGGCCGCCATTGCTGATCTTGTTCACGATTGTGTCTATAGAGACATTTGTATTGATTAGATCTATTTCTTTTTATTTTATCGAAATATTTGAAGGATCGATCGATAAAAAAAAATATATATATATAATAAACAAATTTAAACAATAATTAATTAATCGTGTTTGCATCGCATTAGAATGTGTATTTCTGCGTGTTCAAATATATATAATATAATTTATTATTATTTTGAATTCTAATTAATTGTAATACATTCCTTGTGTTTTTCTTTTTTTCTTTTTTGGTTCTTCTCTTTGTACATATTTATAATTGGTATATGCGTTTTATTGGAGAATACACTTACCGCAATCAGGTTTTGTACCACGAGTTCTGGTACCAGCAAATTCAACACCATGCGGATCGACGCACCAGCAAAGGCCAAGTCCTCGGTGACACTGAGTGCTTCGATAATATCCTCTGGAATCGCATGCTGGTGCTACTTCTAATGGTGATCGTCTGCGAACTGCAGCGCAGGGTCGTTCAGCTTTAGCAAAACAACCGCACCATTCCAAACCGCTCACAAAAATATCGCTATAAATAATAAATAAATATATAAAAATGCGTGTGTATGTGTGTACGACGTACGATATGTGGGTATCATGTATGTATGTATGTATGGATGCATATATGTAGTTTATATTTGTATATGTACATCGTTTTGCTAAACGAGATCGGCTTTGGTTTTTACAACCAATGTATTTATATTTGCACACGATACTTTTTCCAATCGAACGATCGAAAATATTTTCATTTAAACGTAAATACTTTTCTTTTTTCTTTTTTTCTATTTTTACATTTATTGTCCTATCGTTTTACATGATGTTGTAAATACATCCACGATGGCCACAGTCAATACGAGTAGGCCAAAAAAAATTTAATATAATGATTTCTCGCGTGTGTTTTACACGATAATCGTAAAGATGGTAAAAAAGAAGAAAAAAAGAAAAAAAAAAAGGTAAAACAAAATGTTTGCCGGTGAAAATTATATTGTAACTCTTTTAAAATTACGCGTTGTTGGGGTTGTTTTTTTTTTATATCGATCAGGGAAGAAAAAAAAAACTGACTTGACTTGAATTTCTTTTTACCCGTCAGTGTCGCAACTATCGAGGAAAGGTTTTAGGCATGGCTCGTTCTGATCGTGTTCCAATCCGTAAAGTTCAGAAAGCGAGATCCTACCATCGCTATCGCTGTCCAAATGTCCAAACATCCACCTTACTTCGCTTTGGCAAGGGATTGGGAAATGACCTGAAGATTAACCCAAAATATATATTAGGATCGTAAAATGTGTTAGATTATTATAGAGATAGAAATGGTTGAATGTTTGTTTTATTATCAAAATAACTTTCATTAAAATAACTTTATTTCTCCCCTTATTTTCTTTTCTTTTCTTTTCTTTTCTTTTTCTTTTTCTTTTTCTTTTTCTTTTTCTTTTTCTTTTCTTATGAAAGAGAAATGAGAGATATAAATTTTGATATACGAGGGATAATACCTACCTATGGGCTTAGGATGTTGTCGACGATGTTTCGCATCCGCCATTACGACAGAGAACCAATCCAAAAGTCGATTAGCCATTGCTGGTTTTGATGACGGTGGACAATCCGTGTTATAAGTTGATTTCATCGGTGATGATACTGATTTTTCCATAACTTCGTTACTCAATAAATGTTTATCGTCGTATCTGTTGGCCGATGCGAGAGTCTACGCAACAAAATACATTTTACACATTTACGTATGTCCTATTGAAATAAATCGAATTATTTGACAAGTTAGATCGACGATTTTGAAATTCAATATTAATAAACGATACATATAAATATACCTATATATATATATATATATATATATATA